GAGACAGAGGGGGAGAGGGGGAAGGGCAGAGTGGGCGGAGAGAGCAGACTGCTTAGATGTGCAGGGGCTGGGCTGGAATTGACAAGGGGCCGGAGCCATCCCATTACCTGCAGCTTCCTGTGCAGAACACCTGCCTGGCAGGCCTCCCCGAGAGCCGCCTGCAGGGCGTGGGAGACCACGTGGCGCATGCAGGCTTCTGGTGTCTGCTGCTCCTGGGCCGCCTCGATCTCCAGCAGCAGGGCACTGCACACGGAGGCAGATACCAGCTCAGGATCCACGAAGAGGAACACTCTGAGGGCAGAGGTGTGTGTGCAGGGGGGAACCGATGAAGGTGACGCTGAGAGAGGGGTCACTAGATGGGCACTCGCAAAGCTATACAGCAACCCCCTACCCCCAGTTCCTAATTCCTCAAAAAAGAGGAGCGTCGGATTAAAAATTCTGTAGATGGGATGACGATAGGGAGGGGTGTGGACTGTGGCTAATGAGAGCATGCACAGCCCTTGATAGAATGCTGCTTATATTCCCCTTCTAGAGAAGGGCAGCTCTCGCTCATTCAGGACTGTCCATTGTTTCCACACAGGCCTTGTGTGTCAAGGAAAGTTCCAACCTAAACCCTGCTCCCTCTCTCAGCAACCTGATCAAGGGATGAAGGGACCCTCTTGGAGGGACCCTAAATCCTTTCTGCCAGAACTGGAGCTCTGAGCCCTGAGTGAATCCCATCTTCTCTCATTACCTTATTGCACCAGAGAGCCAGCCTCCCCTACTCTCTCCTTATTCAGTCGTATCACCCCCACCTCCCCAGGGCTAATTCCTCTGGATCCCTTCTGCTCCCCTGAACCCTTCAGGAGCACCCCAAACTAAGCTATGCCTTCCCATGTCAAGGCAGCAGAAGTATCTGCAGAAGAGGGAGGTGGAGGCCCTTCCAACTTCACCCCCCCCACACACAGACAGCCTCTTCCCCACAATCTTATCCAAAGTCTAGACATGCACGGAAGGAAGTCCCAGATGTCGTCATGTGGCTGTGGCTTCAACCTCTCCACAGCGCATAATCTGGAGCCACCTCTGCCCAGCTGGCTGGTGTGATGTGGCCTCGTGGCCAAGAGTGGGATGGAGGTGGAACAGAAATCCAGGGTGGCCTGGAGGCCACATGCACCCTCCATGTGTGAGCGGGCCACTCTGACTCCAGCCCAGGAAGAAAGGCCTATCCTGCTTTCCGTGGTCTCTGGCAAAAGATAGGGCCTGTCCACCTTGGCCTGCAAACACGCTCCCTGCCGGACAGACGTCGCGGACGGGGCGTTCTGCCAGGCCTCTCCCCAGTCCAGCTTCCTCTTTTGTCCACCTGCCTGTGAGCCACTACACTGTTACCAACACCTCGAGGGGGCTGAGGGAGCAGCCTTTCCCGGCTACTCACCTCTCCTGGTAGGGATACAGCTCGTTCACCAAGCTCTGTTCCGCAATGACCGTCCTTTGGTACAGGGTCCCTGCAAAGCAGACCACTTCAGCCAGGCAGCCCTGGAGTCTCGGCCTCCCGCCCCCCATCTTTCCACAGGAGGTGCTGAGAATTTTGAGCTTCCTAGCAACCTGGAGGAAAGAGGCAAAAGTTTGGGCAGTGCTGGAGCTGTCTGTGGAGACAGACGCCCGGCCGCTCGAACCTGGCACAGCAGTCTCGGTCTTCAGCCTGATAGCGCAGTCCAAGGCCACTGTGCAGTAGGGGGTGGGCAGGGTCAGTAACCTCGTGCAGAAGGTGTAGGTCCTCTGGTAGAGCTCCTCCGTGATGCCCGTGGCCTGGAGGAGAGGGAGGAGTTGGGGCGCCCGGAGCGCTAGGTCCTAGGAGCAGGGAGGTTGGGTCTGACAGTTCTCCCCCCAGACCCACCCCTTCCAGCCTTGTCTCCCAGCATCTGCATCCTGAATGCCTCTGTTCTCCTTACTGAGGTGGGAACTCGTCGTGCCGTGGCCCGCCTGCAAACCCACCCTCCCGGCCGGCTGTGTCTACAGCTCTCCGGGCTCAAACTCTGCCCTGACATCTCCAGGCTCCTTTGCTTCCCATGGGTACAAGAGTCTCCACAGTGCCCCAGAGGCTCCCCGGCCCTCTTTCCTCCTGTGCCCTCTGCCAAGCCCCACCGGCCTCTGGACCCTCCAGCACGCCAGCTTTGCTCTTCCTGGCCCTGGTCTTCCTCACCGCCCACTCCCACCCCTGTGACTACACATGGCTCCTGCGTGCTCTTTCCAAGACATCGCGATTTGTGGTCCTGTCTCCCCTCTGTGTGGGGAATCCTGCTGCACCTCAAAGGAGCTCCTTTTGCCACTTGAGACTTTCCACGACTTCCCCACCCTGCTTTGACCTCCCCACTGTGTCTCCAGCTCTCTCTCTTCACGGAGAAGAGAAAGGGTGTGGCTAGAGCCTACACAACAGCGTGAGGCAGGAGAGCCAGTGGTGTTTCCAGACTCGCCCTAGAGGAGACTGGGTGTCCACTCCGGAGCGAGGCCAGTGTCTGGCCCGGCCACATGTGAGTCGAGCCACCGTTCCCACCTTGAGCCCCGTCCCCAGCTCACCTTCGTGAGCACATACATTAGCGTGTGCAGCAAGGGAATGATGACGTGTCGCAGGTCCTCGCTTTCTGCCTGGAAGACAGGAGGTCATGTGACACCTGTAGGTCTGGGGACTGGCAGGTTTGCACATCCTAGCAGGAGGCAGATTGGACTTGGGGTGGGTGAGAGGCGAGTGGGCGGCATTCTATCAAGCCCAGGTGACAGAAGGAGGCCCTCAATCTGTGCTGGGTAGAGGAGAGGTGGGGCGGGGTGGGAGCACAGGCGTGCAGGCCCCGTTGGGAGGGTGTGTGTGGGGGGTGTGCGGGAACTCCGTCGCGGAGAGGCAGCATCAGCTCAGGGCAGGAGTCACAGCAAGGTGACAAACAAGTCCCCCACTCAGAACCCCCCCTGCAGGGCTTCCCAGGCAGTCGCAAGCAGAGCTGCGAAGGATGCAGGGGATCACTGAGGCCATGTGAGGACAATTCCAAACAACTGTACTAGTGACTCGTGATATTTGCAGTCACCTTCTGTTCTTAAGAAGTAACACAGGATTTCCATGGATGGCCGGGTTTCTATAACTAAAGCTGTGTGCGTTAGAGTAAAGCAAATATCACTTATGTAAAAGCACAAAGGACAGGGGAAGGTGTTACAACAGGAATGCAACTGGACCCATGTGGGAGAGTCTTGGGTTCGAGACCTGAGACCTCTCTGAGCACTCTGAGAGCATCTGCTCATGTGAGGAGGACCCTGTTATGGGTCTCTTTCTCTCTCTCTCAATAAAGAGATGTATCTGGGGGCCAGCTGGTGGCATGATGGTTGAGATAGTTGGATCTCACATGGCTGACTGTGCAGTTCAAGTTCTATCAGCTTTTTTTTTTTTTGGAGAGGTTTGGCTATAGGGCACACGCGCTCGCCAGAAAGACAGAGAGAGACAGAGAGACAGAAAGCAAGAAATCACCTCCCAGGGGGGATGGCCATGCCGCAATCCCTTCTCCTCCATTCTCCTCTTGGGATCCTGGGCACACACACACACACGCCCGGCATGAGTTTAAGCCACTGGGTCTGGGACTCGAACCGCAGTCAGCTACGTGGGAGTTCAGCGACATAACCATTACGCAAACTGCTGACCCCTCTATCAGCTTTAAAAACATGCCAGGCATGTGTGCATGCATGCCCCAAAATCCTGAGAGGAGAATGGAGGAGAGGGGATTGTGGTATGACCATAGCCCCCAGGAGGGACGCTTTCTCACTTTCTCTCTCTCCCCCTCTCTGTCTCTCTCCATAAAAGAAGAGAGACATATATGGTAAAAATCATGCAGGAGGTCCAAATGACCAAAGACTGGGGGACACACTGCTGACAGGACTGAGCACCCCCCACTGAGTAATGACCCTTCCCTTCCTCTCATGCCAGCCTACCTGCCCGAAGCTGAGGGAACCCACCTTCTCCAGTTCTCTGAGCAGGATGCGGACCAGCGCTGGGCTCTTTGCAGGATCTCGCTCGACCTTCTTATGCAGGGACCATCTCCCCATGCCTGGGTAGGAGAAAGGGGAGTCCACCATGCCCGGGCAGGAGGGGAATCTTGGAGGAGACTTGTCGGACCAGGACCCTGGACCCTAAAGCCTCAGACTATGACTTCAACAGTGACAGGCAGGGCTGGCCTGTCAGCTCCCACTCAGCACCAGGTGCACATAGGTGGGCTTCTGCCATGCAAGGGACCGGAACCCCCCAGGGCAGAAGTGAGAGGAGGTGGGGCTTGAGTAGGGACGGCTGTGTGCCTGTGGACCACAGAGCAGCAATGCAGCAGCTCTGAGCCCCAAACCGGAGGTGCCGAGGGGACTTCTGTTTGGAAGGGGAGCTAGCGAAGGTGGGTGGTTAAAAAAGAGGGTGGCTGGGACCAGCAGTTGGTGTAATTGCTGGACTCCCATGTAGTCGACTGTGGTTCAAGTCCCAGGCCCAGTGGCTTAAACTCACGCTGGGCGCGTGTGCGTGCATGCCCAAGATGCCAAGAGGAGAATGGAGGAGAAGGGATTGCGGCATGGCCATCCCCCTTGGGGGGTGATTTCTTGCTTTCTATCTCTCTGACTCTCTCTGTCTTTCTAGTGAGCACATGCGCCCTATAGCAAAAACTTCTCCAAAAAGGAAAAAAAAAAAAAAGAGGTGGTAGGTCCCCAGTGTACTGGGTAGGCGGAGGATCGAACCAGAGAGCAGAGAAGCTCCTCAGTCCTTCAGGCTCCAGTATTTCCAGCAGGAAGGAGGCTTGGCTGGACGCTCCTCACCTAGTGTTATGGTTTGGATCAAGTTTCATGGTTTGGAATTTGGTCTCAGTGGGCAGTGATTGGATGTCCCCCCAGAAACCCATGCTTTTAGGACAGGGTTTCTGTGACTGCGTTATGGCAGGAATATAAGCAGCGGAAGGAGACCTGGAGGCAGAGAGAGAGCCGCGTGGTCACAGACCTCGCTCTGCTAAAAGATCTGCCTTCACCATCTTGTGGTGCCCTTGGGCTTTGCAGCCATCGGAGCTGTGAATTATTAAACCCACTTTCTTGGGACCAGTAGATGGCATAATGTTTACATGGCTGGATTCCCACGCAGCTGGCCGCAGTTCAAGTCCAGACATGGCGGCTTAAAACTCATGCCGGGCGTATGTGCATACATGCCCAAAATCCTGAGAAGGGAATGGAGAAGGGACTGCAGTGCGGCCATCCCCCTGGGGGTGAGCTCTTGCTTGCTGTTTCTCTCTCTCTGTTTCTCCCCTATAGCAAAAATCTCTCTAAGAAAACAAAACAATTTCTTTATTATTCTGCTAGCAATGTCGTAACAACTGAGCCCAGGAGCTCAGGCTGGGTGGGACCTTTCTCCGAGTGTGCGTGTGGGTGTGTGCAGAGCTGGCTGCGGAGGGGCGGGAGAGTCCGAGGTGCAGCCACCACCTCCAATTCTTACCTTGGTTGCTCTGCAGGGCTGGGGCGTGGGCGCTGAGCTCCCGGAGTACAGCCTGCACGCTCCTCTGGAGATCCAGCTCCACATCTGGGCAAAAGGGAAGGGGGGAGCTTTGAGGCCAAGAGCTTTGGAACCCAGCACACACAGCCTCACCCTTGTCCAGCCTCCATGTCCCCTGAGAATGTCTTTATCCCCATCCAGGAGCCTCAAGAGTGCCACAACGTAACCAATTTAGAGCAGGCAGCCAGCCACCCGCCAGGGCTGGAATGCAGCCTTTCCGCCAGCATGAAGTGCCAGACGAGGGGACTTCAGAAGGTTCATAGAATAGAATTAAACTACAAGTTTATTTTGGTGCAAAAAAAAAATTTTTTTTGAAATCCACGCATAATTATTTCATAATCTGCATTTTCCATAGACTGTTTGAAGACCCCTCCCCCCGTACGTACACTTTGGTAATACATAAGACAATTTAAGGGAATACACAAGCCTCTTAAAATATGAATAATTATACACCTATTTTAATGCATATTTAAATATAGACATAACTAGATCCTCAATCTATGCTTGAAGCTAACATTTGAAGTCGATTTAAAGAATCCTCGCCAACTACCAGGACAGGTGGTTACGAAGACTCTCTCCTGACCAGAGCTCACTCCGGCTCCTCTGAGCAGTTCTCTTCTCCACCAGCCTCGCTTGACCTTGGCACCTGTCCTGTCTTCAGCCGGCCGGTAGAAATTTATCTCCCCAAAATTCATGTGTTGAGATTTGGTTGTGACAGCATTAAATAGGTGGAACTAAATTCTATGACAGTGTTAAAAGGTGAGGCCTGGGACCGGCAGTTAGCGTAATGGCTATGTCGCTGGTCTCCCATGTAGTCGACTGCTGTTCAAGTCCCGGACCCGGTGGCTTAAAACTCACACCGGGCGCAAGATTCTGAAAGGAGAAAGGAGGAAAAGGGATTGCAACGTGGCCATCCCCCCTGGGGGGTGATTTCTCTCTGTCTCTCTGTCTCTTTCTGTCTTTCTGGCGAGCACACGTGCCCTATAGCGAAAATCTCTCCCCCGCTCCAAAAAGAAAAAAAACAACTTGACTTTCTGGGGCCAGCAGGTGGCATGGTGGTTAGGGTAATGGACTCCCAACATGCTCAACTGTGGTTCTAGTCCAGACCTGGTGACTTACTTTCCCTCCATCTCTCTCTGTCCAAATATAATAATAATAATATTTTAAAAAAGACCTGACTTCCCTCTAGCAAATATCCTGGTAGGTCCATTCCCTCTTAAGCAGACCCCCTCACTCTGCTCATGGGCTGTAAACCCCCCAGATGTCTTTTCTCCATGTGGATTTGAACTCCTTTTGTCCCTTATTGTAATAGTCTAGATTAAAATCTTCTGTACTCTTTTTTTTTTTTTTTAAGTTTTTATTTATTTCTTCCATGACGGGGAGAAACAGACAGGGTAGAGGCAGAGACAAGCACCCCATCAGGGCTTCATGTCCTGACCCACTCCCAGCCCCGGCCGGCCCTGAGCCACGAGCGGACATACACCCGGTGTGTTCAGGCAAACCCGAACCATCCCATGTGCCAGCCTCACACAGAGTCACGCTGCAGTGACCACCCTCTGGGCTCTTCCTCCCTGTTTAACAACTGTCGGGATCATTTTTTCTCGAATGGTAGTACTTTGACATGGCAGAAATGCAAAAGGGGTACAAGACCAAGCAACCGACGTTTGGAGAACGTGGTGCCATGAGAACGCACCTACCCACGCCCCCCACAGGGAGTGTGCGTGACCCAGGTCCCACATTGCTGTGCTATGAAACCCACCGCTGTTCTGACCCCACTCCCTGCCTTCCAAAGCAGGCCCTTCCCCAAGAGACATCTTCTCTCTCTCTCTCTCTCTTTTTTTTTTTAATAATTATTTTATTTACTCATTTATTTTAATTTGACCAGAGAGGGACAGAGTAAGTGAACGAGAGAGAGAGGGAAAGTGAGAAGGCAAGCTGCCAGGTCCAGGACTCAAACCATGGTCAGCCATGTGGGAGTCCAGCGTCCTTAACCACCATGCCCCACCTGCCAGCCCTGAGACACCTTCTCAAATGGCCGACTTTTGAGGGCTCTTGAACTGTCTTTTTTTTTTTTTCTTTTTTTTTTTTTTTTTTTTTTTTTTTTTGAGAGATTTTCACTGTAGGGTGCGTGCGCTCGCCAGACAGACAGAGAGAGACATAGAGACAGAAAGCAAGAAATCACCCCCCAGGGGGGATGGTCATGCTGCAATCCCTTCTCCTCCATTCTCCTCTCGGGATCTTAGGCACGCACGCACACGCGCCCGGCGTGAGTTTTAAGCCACCGGGTCCGGGACATGAACCGCGGTCGACTACGTGGAAGTCCAGCGACATAGCCATTACGCTAACTGCTGGTTCCCTTGAACATTCTTCAATAGCCCTGCTGAAGTTTCTTTTAAAAATGATTTATTTAATTGTATCTATTGTTATTATTATTATTATTTGATCACCAGAGAGAGACAGAGAGGAAGAAAGAAAGCAAGCTGCTAGGTCTGGGACTCGAACTGCAGTCAGCTGTGTGGGAGTCCAGTGTCTTAACCACCACCTGGGGCCCCCTGCTGAGCTTTTTAAATGTAACTTTTCCGGATTTCCCGTCAGGCTAAGACAGTTCCACCCAACCCTTCTTGTCTGTCTCCTCCATGTGGACACTGACTCGCAGCACCGTCCGGCACCCGGCTCTCCCAACCTCCTCTCTGTTCACTGTCACGCAGGTGTTTCCCCAGAGTCATCCTTGAACGGCTAGCCCTGGCTCGGTTCTGCTTCTTAGAGGACCCAGACTAAGACAGGAAGTACAGGAAAACACTCCTCACACAATTTATTCCCAGTCCGCAGGAACTCCGAACAAGAGTTTGTCCTTCCGGGCAAGTGTGTATTCTCTTGTCAGATGACACACCACATGCCCCAGGGGGTCCCTCTTTGACTTGGCTGCCAGGAAACTTACAGCCAACCTGGGACCCCGCTTGGAAAGTCAGCTCTTGTCAACTGACAGGGACCTCTCTTCTCCGCTCCCCTGCGTGCTCCTGCTTTCTGTTCTGTCATACGCACCTCACTGCCTCCGATTCCTTTGGGGTAAGTAGCGTCAAGATTTAAAAATCAGTGGGCTGCAGTCCCAAAAATTGAACTGTGATCAGCCATGTGGGAGTCCAGAACTTTAACCACCACACCACCTGCTGGCCCCACATTCTGGCATCTCTTAAGGCATGCTGGTGTTCACAGACTGGCCCCTCCATGGCTCTGGAGTGAGCCCCTGTGAAGTTGACAGGGACCGCCTGGCATCTCTGAAGCCTCACTTCCTTCCTGGCTCTCCCTTGATCTCACTGTCGAAGCCTGATCCTGAGTATTCTCCAGGCTGCGAGGGGGCAGGGTGTCACAGTTTGCATCTGCCCACCTGGCCACTCTGCCGGTCAGTGCAGCATTTCCCCGGACTGGTGAGGAAATCGTTTAGCCTGACATGGAGGCTGGTCACAGTCTATCCTTCCTTTACCCATCTCCACTTCCCTCAAAACTCTCAGGAGTTAATGCAGGGTGAGTTTTTTTAAAAAATTAATTAACTGGTTGTGGGACCAGATGGCATAATGATTATGTCACTGGATTTCCCTGTGACCAACTGCAGTTCATCTCCCAGACCCAGAGACTTGAAAGTGACACTGGGCGCGTGTACGTGTGTGCCCAAAATCCCAAGAGGAGAATGGAGGAGAAAGGATTGTGGTGTGGCCAACCCCTGGGGGATGATTTCTCACTTTCTGTCTCTCTGTCTCTCCAGTGAGTGCACGTGTCCTATAGCAAAAAGACTCTACAAAACAAAACAAAACAAAACAAAACAAAACAAAACAAAACATTCATTGGTTGGGCCAGCCCCATAGCACAGTGGTTAAAGGAGCTAGAGCCCACATGAGTGACCATGGTTTGAATCCCAGCCCCAGCCCCAGCAACTTAAAAAAACATGCCAGGCACATGTCACAAAATCCAAAGAAGGAAAAATGGAGGAAAAGGATTGCAACATGACCACGCCCCACTGTGCTCGTTCTCTCTCTCTCTCTCTCGACCACACAGAACAACTTAAAACTGCGACAATTGGAATTTCCTCCTTTCTCCTCATTCAGCTGACAGCCAAGCGCTTGTCTTCAGAGCCCTAGGTTCCCCTGCTTTGCAAGGGCAGTTAAGTTTTTATGTTTCAGAGAAAAATAGAGAAGTTGACGGTAGCTCTAGGAGACAACCTCAAACAAATTTTGTTTTGAAAGTCTGGGCAGCCGGAACAAACTCTCAGGGTTTGGTCTACATCTGGCTTGCAGCCATGTTTTGTTTGAGCTTATAGAGGGTTTTTATTTTTTTTTTAAATGTTAGCTGACAACATTTACAAATCAGGGAGTTTTGCAAGGAAGTTTGAGTTTCGGATATCTCTTCAAATCTGAAAGTCCTCGACAACTGGACCTGCCTCTTCTCACACGTGACAATTGGCAGGGGCTGAGAGCAGCTGTCCCTTGAGCCAGCACTTTCCTCTCCAGTTCTGTTCTCACTCGTCTCATGTCACTCACTCACATCCTCCACCTGGGCCCTGGAAGGCTCGAGTTTGAGACCCCGACCAGCCGATTGAGTGCATCAATCCGGATTATCTAAAATGAGGGTGGGGTGGGGGAGCCATCGCTGGTGCAATGGTAACACAACTGGACACACGTGGGAAAAGGTCTTGGGTTCATGTCCTGCGATATCTCTGAGCACAACAGGCACAACACACGGGCCGATGACCTGGGCCGGCTGAGACTGGGAGTGGGGAAATCTCTGTGTTAGAAGCCCATTGAGGTGCCTTTCTGTCTGTCTTTCTCTTATATGAAATAAATAAATAGTAAAACTTAGTAGATGTAGGGACCAGCAGTTAGCGTAATGGCTATGTTGCTGGACTCCCAGGTTGTTGACCACGGTTCGAGTCCCGGACCCGGTGGCTTAAACTCACGCCAGGCGCGTGTGTGTGCATGCCCAGGATCCCAAGAGGAGAATGGAGGAGAAGGGATTGCGGCATGGCCATTCCCCCTGGGGTGTGATTTCTCGCTTTCTATCTCTCTATCTCTCTCTGTCTGTCTCGCGAGTGCACACACCCTACAGCAAAAACCTCTCAAAAAAAAAAAAAAAAAAAAAAAACTTAGTAGATGTTAAAAAGAGTGGAGACAAAGGCACATGGTTTTTGTTAAAGAGGAGCCTGGTCGAACCCAAGGCTGAGAGATTGGATTCCCAAAGACTATGAAGACTTTGGGATTCCAGGAAACAAAGACTAGAGCTGGCGAGGACATCACTCCCCGTTAGCAGCAGAGATCAAATGAGGACTGTGCCTCTGAATCTCACCCTGACCCACTCTGGCCAGTGCATGAGGACGTCCCCCACAGGAGCCCCTGTCTCCCTGTGGGCCCTGCAAGCCAGGTCCATCTGTTCTGGTGGCAGCAGCCACGGAGGAAGACCACGGATTTCCTCCACTATCCAGACTTCTCTGGACTTCTCCTTTCTTTCCTTTCCCACCTGGTTCCTTTCTTTTCTCTTCTTCTTTTTTTTTTTTTTAAGAGAGATTTTTGCTATAGGGTGCATGCACTCAACAGAGAGACAAAGAGACAGAAAGTAAGAAATCACCTCCCAAGGAGGATGGCCACACTGCAATCCCTTCTCCTCCATTCTCCTCTCGGGATCTTGGGCACGCACACACATGCGCCTGGCGTGAGTTTTAAGCCACCGAGTCTAAGACTTAAACCATGATGGACTACATGGGAGTCCAGCGACAGAATCATTATGCCACCTGTGGTCCCAGTCCTGGGCTTTTCACAAGCTAGTAGGATGAGGAGAAGCACCCCAAGTGAGTGATTCTGGAATTCGCACTGACTTTGGAAAATAAGATCTTGAAGCTGGATTCGATTCGACTACATGAAAGAAAGAAAGACAAGTCTCAGGCTGGTTCATATAAGAGACACATATCTGATGTCACTGCCAATACACAAATGGCGTCCATTAGTACCCTCCTTGTCACCCAGGAATACGGGATGTTACTATTACATATTGTTAATTATAATAGTAATCATAATATGACTGTCTAACATTTAAATAGCACTTGAAAGGTGTGTACATACAGTCTCCATAGGTGTGGCGAGACAATGCTGTGCATTTATCAAACAGGGCACCATTTGTCACACGCAGACAGGAAGGTTCCCAGACCCCCCTGCAGTTCTACGGGAGCCACGTGACCGGATTCTGACCAGTGGACTGTGGAGGCAGTGAAGCGTGTCTCTCGCAGGCCTGGTCATAAAACCTCTGCGCTCTCCTCCGTACTTTCTTTTCCCATTTTGTGGTGACCTTAGAGGGTTCATGTGGAAAAGGGTGGTGCCACAAAAGGGAAGAAGCTCAGTCTCAGAATGACTGCTTGGAGCCCAGATTGGACTGTGAGTTGAGTAACAGGTAAGCCTTTGAAACATTCAACTGACACAAAAATGAAAATGAAAAAGTATCTGCTGATGGAATTGTGTCTGGTAATATCTTTTATTTTTTATTTTTTTGAGAGTTTTTTGCTATAGGGCATGTGCGCTCGCCAGAAAGGCAGAGAGAGACAGAGAGACAGAAAGCGAGAAATCACCCCCAGGGGGGATGGCCATGCCACAATCCCTTCTCCTCCATTCTCCTCTTGGGATCTTGGGCACGCACGCAGACACGCTCGGCGTGAGTTTATGCCGCTGGGTCTGGGACTCGATCGCTGTTGACTACATGGGAGTCCAGCGACATAGCCATTACGCTAACTGCTGGTCTCTGTCGGATAATATCTTTGACTGGATTAACATACAGTGTATTCATGCTGGGAAAATGTATTTTCTATATTGTAAAGATATACGGTGATGGAACATAAAAATTAAGAAAAAATAATTTTTAAAAAAAGGCAAGCCTTTGTTGTGTCACTCCACTGACATTTAGGGCCATTTGTTACAGCAGCTAGCATTCTCTGACTGATTCATGAACACACAAAGTGTTTTCCAAAGTATTATCTCATTGATTCTGAGAGTCCTGCAAGTTCGGCAGGAAGAATATTTTCTTTCTATTGTCTAGATTCCAGGTCTAGAACCCTGACTTTAGTCCCAGATTGCTTCTCCAATCATGGAAGGCCATGTCTTGAGGAACCTCAGAGTCTCACTTCCCATTTTTTTGGGGGGGAGAGGTTTTTGCTATAGGGCGCGTGCGCTCGCCAGACAGATAGAGAGAGACACAGAGACAGAAAGCGAGAAATCACCCCCCAGGGGGGGATGGCCACGCCGCAATCCCTTCTCCTCCGTTCTCCTCTCGAGATCTTGGGCACGCACGTACACGCGCCCGGCGTGAGTTTAAGCCACTGGGTCCAGGACGCGAACCGCGGTTGACTACATGGGAGTTCAGCGACATAGCCATTACGCTAACTGGTGGTCCCCCCACTTCCCATTTTACAAATGGGGAAAGAAAGCTCGGGGCAGAGTTGATTTACCAGGCCTGTCACAGAACTGTTGGAAGCAGAGCTTTCTCATGGTCAAATGCTCTTCCTCCACAATTGCATTCTTACATGGGACCATTTGCCTGTCTCCTGGGCAAACAGAGAAGAGAGATGGCCAGGGGAGATTGCATGTATATGTCTGGTATGCGTGCCTGAGGCTTGAAGCTAGAAATAAATGTCCTAGTGAAGTTGCCTGAAATAAAGTCCTCGGCTCTCAAACAGTTTCCACTAAAGAGACAGTAGAGAAGGAAGGAGAAGAAAGGCTGATCAAGTCCTGATGGTGGGAGGAAGCACACAGTCCAGGCCTTGCTCTTCAATGTCAGGACATTCAGGGGCCAACAGGTGGCATAGTGGTTAAGGTGCTAGACTCCCACATGGCCGACTGCAGTTCGAGTCCTGGACCTGCTAACTTGAAACACATCAGACGTGTGTGTGTGTGTGTGTGTGTGTGTGTGTGCCCAAATTCCTAAGAGGAGAATGGAGAAGGGATTGTGGCATGACCATTCCTCCAGGGGGTGACTTCTCACTTTCTCTTTCACTTTGTCTCTCTGGTGAGCGCGTATACCCTATACCAAATATCTCTCTAATAAACAAAAAGTTCAGCCCATTCAAATCCGCCCTAGCAGTTGGCATCCCAGCCTGCACACAGTTGGGGCGCGAGGGCTTGACTGTCTATGGCTCCACATGTTCTCACATCCGTGCAGCTGAATTTGGGTCTGGCAGCCAGGCTGCATGCAAGTGGTCCTGCCAGCCGTGGGGGCCTCTTGCTCACAAAAGCAGCAGTCCCCACGGAATTCGCTAAGCCCCTCTCGACCCACCACACTGACCTGAGCTCTCCATGGAAGCCTGGGGGCTGTGTGAGGAGGATGTCGTCGTCTCGGGCAGCAGAATGGAAAGCGAAGTGGTTGCTTTTCCACACAGAGGCGCTTCTGCAAAGGAAGAGGCGGTTCGTTAGTGGACGTGGTGGAAGGTGGAAAAGATTATTTGGGAAACGGAGAAGCTCCTAGGGACCTAGACTTCTGGCATGACGGAGGCAAGGCTAGGTTTATTTTTATAATACTGTTTTAGTGCTGACTGTGTGCCAGGGACTCTCCGAAGCACTTAAAAAGGATCAAATCTGTGATGTTAATATTAAGCTTATGAGGTAGGTACCCTACCACTCATTCTATAGTTGGGGAAACTGAAGCACAGAGAGGTTAAATAACTGGTCTGACAAAAACAAAGCAAAACTCTAGTAAGAAAGAGAAGTGAGGACTTGGGGGCCCATCCATGGCACAGTGGCAGCGAAGCTGAACCCACGTGGGAGGGCCCTTGATTGATGTCCTGGGGCCTCCTTGGATGCCAGGAGTGCTGCCTGTCCATAACCTGTGCTGGCTGAGGGTGGGTGGGGTTGGATCTCGGCATGAGAACCTCCTTTGGGGTGCCTCTCTCTCTTTCTCTGGGTGTCTCTCTGTCATGGAAGAAATAAACAAATGAACTATTAAAACAAAAATAGACCCATCCATGGCCTACTAATTAAGGAAGCCAGATCTCACACGGTCAACCATGAAGATTAAGTTCCAGTCATGGCAGCATGAAAAACACACTGGGTGCATGTCTTTGTGTGCCCAGAATCCTGACAGGAGGGAGAAGACTATGGTGTGACCATTCTCCATTGGGGGTTGCTTTCTCCCTCTCACCCTCTGTCTCTGTCTCTCTCTGGTGATCACACGTGCCCACTGGCAATTAAAAAAAAAGAAAGAAACCCCAAAAATGAAAAAAACTGGGGGCCAGCAAGAGGCATAGTGGCTAAAGTGCTGGACCCCTACATGCTGACTGTGGTTCAAGTCCTGGAACTGGCAGCTTGAAAATCACACCAGATGCATGTGAGTGCATGCCCAAAATCTTATGAGGAGACTAGAGAAGGGATAGAGAAGGCCCAGGGGAGCGGGGTGCAGTGGCGGTGGTTTCTCACTTTTTCTCTCTCTATCTTTCTCTGGTGAGAGTATGTGCCTTATGGCAAAAACCTTACATATTTTTAAAAAAAAAAATAAAGACTTACACTCAGACCATCTAGTTCTAGACCCCATGCTCTCAATGATGACCCCAGGCTGCCCCATCGTGGCTCCAAGGGGAGGTACTCCCCAAGTCTGCTAACAAAGCAAACAACCCAACTACCGAAGAGCCCAGGAACCCTGAGCAAGCCCAAGAGCCCATTCTTTGGAGAGAAAACGAACAAATATATACTTGGGAAGGCTTATCCGAGAGAGAGCAAAAACCGAGACAGTGCTAGGAATGATAGCTATAATATTTGTACTTGTGGCAAAAAAGAAAATCTAAGTCTTTCCTATTATACATGGTTTTCTAGGATAATAAAGAAAAGACTCTAGAAGAGTTAGAAAAACTGTACATATTAGTAGCCAGTGAAGACACAAAGAAAACTGTCAAAGAACTAGCTCTAAGAAATTGCTGCCTGGCTTAAATGGCTTCTCTGACAACATCTTTAAAAAGAATTTTTTTTTAACAGGGTTGTTTATTTAATTTAATTTTTTTTTTCATTACTAGAGAGAACCAGAGAGAGAGTGAGAGGGAAAACGAGAAAGAAACAAAACGGCATGTCTAGGACTCAAACCATGGTCGGCTATGTGGGAGTATAACACCCTAACCACCATGCCACCTGCCAGACCCCAACACAATCTTTTTTTAAGAGAGATTTTTGCTATAGAGTGTATGTGCTTGCTGGAGAGACAGAGAGACAGAAAGCAAGATATAACCTCCCGGGGAAAGGCCATGCCATGATCCCTTCTCCTCCATTCTCCTCTTGGGATTTTGGGCACGTACAACACACATGCAGCCGCTGTGAGTTTAAGCTGCCGGGTCCAGGACTTGAACCACAGTCAACTATGTGGGAGTCCAGAGACATAACCATTATGCCATTTGCTGGTCCTCTGACAAGACCTTTTAAACATGCATAGTAAAGGAAATTTCTCTATTATTTAAGCTGTTCCAAAACATAGAGAAAGAAAAAAATTCTCAGCCTATTGGAAAATCCAGCTTAGCGCTACCAAAATTTAATAAAGTTAGTTTTAAAACTTAGATCAAGCACTTGGGATGGCTGTTTTAAAAATAAACAAATAAGGGGGGGCAGCAGGTGGCATAGCAGTTACGTCACTGGACTCCCACATGGCTGACCATGGTTTGAGTCTTGGACCCAGAGGCCTGAAACTCACACCAGACATGTATACATGTGGGCCCAAGATCCCAGGAGGAGAAGGGATTGTGGTGTGGCCATATCCCCAGAGGGTGATTTCTCACTTTTCCTCTGACTGTCTCTGTCTCTCTCCAGTGAGTGCACATGCCCTAAGGTAAAAAAATTCTAATAAACAATCAAACAAGGGCTGGTCATGTAGTGTAGCGGTTAAGCACTGTGTATATAGGAGCTGAATCGCACGTGACTGACTGCAGTTCAAACCCTGGTTCCAAAGTCTTGAAAAATATCCTGGGCGTGTGTGCATGTGTTCCCCAAATCCTGACGGCACAGAGTAATGAAGGAAAAAGGATCATGCTATTACCCTGCCCCAAGGAGGGTGTGTTCTTTCTCTCTCAATCAGATGTGCCCACTGGTCAAACGCAACACACACAACCATCAAAAACAAAACAAAACAAAAAAAAGCAAGCGTTAGTGAGGATGTGGAGGAAGTGGAGTCCTGTTGCATTCCTGGTGGGAATTCAAAATGGTCCAGTTTCTGTGGAAGAGAGGGCAGTTTCTCAAAACGTTAAACATAGATTTACCATACAATGTAGTAATCCTGCACTTAGCTAAATAACCCAAAGACTTGAAAGTAGAGACTCAAACAGACACTTGCACACCACAGTTCATAGTGGCATTATTCGAAATAGCAAAAATGTGGAAACAACCCTAATGTTCACAGACAGAATAACAATGATCGCATGAACAAACATGTTACATACATATAATTGAATGTCCGTCAGCCTTAAAAAGAGAGGGAATTCTGATACATGTTACATCACAGATAGATTTTGAAAACAGGTTAAAATAAAATAAACGATACATAAAAGGACAAATACTATGTGAGTCCACTTCTATGAGGCACCTAGGAGAGGCAGAGTCAGAGACAGAAACAGCAAGAACCACAGAGGCCAACAGGGGCTGGGGAGGTTAGCCTGGGGTTACTGTTTAATGGGTACAGAATTTCTGTTTGGCATGAAGGAACATTCTGGAGTTGAATAGTGAGGATGGTTGCATAACATTGTGAATGTATTAGGTCATCGGAAAAGTCACGACGTATTTTTTCTATGCAAAAATGCATCATGACTTTTCCGACAACCCAATACTTAATGCCACTACATCATACACTTAAAAATAATTGAAAGGGTGAGTTTTATATTATGTATATTTTACCAAAATTTAAAAAATAGATTAGGCTCATCTATAAAAATAGATGTAAAATTTTAAAATAAATATCAACTAATTGAATTCAACACTATATTGAAATGATACTAAAAATAATTTCAGCCTATTGATAATCATAGGAACAAATATTAAAATGTGAGTTAATGGGCCAGCAGGTGGCATGGTGGTTAAGACACTAGACTCCCACATGACCAACTGTGGTTCGAGTCCTGGACCTGGTGGCTTGCTTTTTCACTATGTCTCTCCCTCTCTTTCTAGTCAAATTGAAGAGTAATAATATATAAATTAAATTAAATTAATGATTTTTTAAAAAAATGTGAGTTACCATTGGCAAAAATAAAAGAATGATGTCCAGTGCTGGTGAGGAGATGAGAAGATTTTCTGTCAGACAATTGGTGAAAAGGGACATTAGTATGGCCTTTGTGGAGCATACTTGAGCAATTAAGTATCGAAATTTAAGATGCCGTACTTTTTGTACAAGCAATTTCACATTTAGGAACTTGTCTCAGGTAAAATATTGGACAAATGGGTAATAGGCATATACCACAATGTTCATTAATATTGTATATAGCGGGGAAAAGCAAAAGAAATGTAAAGACCTATTTATAGGTATCTGTGCAATGGAATTAGAGTAATATATGTGATGGAATAAAAATGAAGAGGTATATTTATATTTATTGGATTTCAAATAATTATTTTCCAAAAATGTTAATTCTAAATAGTATGTACCACAACAGTTACCTTATTTCTAACATTAATTTTAAAAAGCATATTTCGAAATCTGCAATATATGCATTGAAGAAAGTCAGGAAAAGCGAATAGCAATTATGACATTGGAGGTTCTGGTTCCAAGATTGAAACGTGTTCTACTGTAACTCTCCTACAAAATGCAACTAAAATCTCTGAATAGTATATATAGAACAGCTATCTGAGAGTTCTCAAAAGTCAACAGTGGCAGGCAGAATGTGAAAGGAAACCAGAACTCAAAGTGCGAACAATCTGGCAATGAATTTCTGTTTCTTCCCTTTGGTTATGCCCTGACTTAGACACAAAGCCAGCCTGAAACTCAGAAGTGCACACTAGAAGCAGATAGAAAGAAATAAAAGAAACCCCTTTTAAAAAAGAAAACAAAACAAAAACAAAAACAAGCCCCTTTAAAACTAGAGAGATAGGGACGGTCCTCTTTTTCTTTCATGTCTTCTTCTGTGATAGCCCCAGACAAGCTTGGAACAGCAGTAACAGCAACAGTGAAGGAGAGAGATAGTGGCCATTCAGGTGCCTAAAATTCTGAAGAAGGGAAATTCTTCTCTCTAAATAAAGAAATGGAGATCCCAGAGGCATGGAGAGAATCCTTATTTTTTCCCCCCTCTATCAGAGAAACAAAGACAAAACAAAACAAAAAAAAACTGTTTGTTTTGAGAGATTTTTGCTATAGGATGCATGTACCCGCTGGAGAGACAGACAGAAAACAAGAAATCATCCCTCAGTGGGGATGGCCACACTGCAATCCCTTCT